CGGTGCAAAGAATGCCCCTCATTCCTATCCATTAACTTCTAAACAGTCTCCTATATGACTTCAATGAGGAAAAATGAGCAATTACATTATAAAAAATATTTGTTCTTCATCCACAATCTGTTTTCCTATTCTTTTCATTTTAGGTATCGTGCAAATTTCCCACTGTGCAAAAAAACTGAACGAAATTGCAATGCCAGAGATTTCAGTAACCCCACCCTTCTTGCTTATGCAAAGGTTTGCACGCAGCTAGCCGTATATGATCGCTATTCTGGCGTGATCAATTAATATGCCTATAAATTATACACATACGCCTACAAAACCGTTTACTATCACAGAGAAAACGTACTCCAGCAGCAAGTGCACTACCCATGTTTAAGTAAGGTTGACGTGAAAAATCACAAGTGCCAAACCAGGTAAAACCGACCTGATCGTGAACGCACAGTGTGCATTTACTAAACCTGCCGTCTTTTGTACCAAAGGATGATGTGAGTGTAGCAGGAAAAATACGATTTTAAAGGAAAGGTAAGCTGAAATGATGCCGATGTCATGCATTTGTCTTTTACTCACTTTGGTCCCACTTCAACCTTAGGCATGGCCGATTACGAGGGCTAGCGTTCGTCCATTCGTTGTCATAAGTTTCTTTAAGTAGCACTGAGCTTCTTTCACCCTCACCCCACAGAAAAAAGAGAACTATGTCAAAATCATAAGAAATTTGCTATTAAAAAAAAACATATGGATTAAGTACAAAGAAGACACTAACCGGAAGTAAAAATCTGATAGATCAAATGTCGATTGCATTATTGGTTCAAAGAACAGCAGTGCATCGTAACCATAGTAATCTTTCAACTATGATAATATCTTTAACTTAATTTATGTTCACATTAGAAATAAGGTCCTTCCAAAATTATTTATTTTTCATTAAGTAGAATAAACTATATTTGCACAATATTGGGTATACATCTACCATGAAAAATAAATCTGCCAGTCAGAATTGAAACTCGAAGCATGACCGAACTAATAGTCCGCAATGTGGTCGTTGTCAAACATGGCCAAACATAATATAAGGCCATCTGTATTTATATTTGTCTTCAGGCATTTCTTTATTTTAAGGATTCCTTATTTTTCATAAAAAATATTTTAATGAGTTAGCATTGTGAACAAGCATTTGTTATGTGAAAGATTGTTTCAAAAAAGCCTTTGCATGAAACCATAAAAATATATTTCCGAAATATATCCAAGCTTTTGAATCAAACAGTTTAACTTACATCATCTACCACAACGCTGCGATTGTTAGAAACGAAAAATGTGTTAAACTGGGATTAACCAACCTTTTATATATATATATATATATATATATATATATATATATATATATATATATATATATATATATATATATATATATATATATATATAGATATATATATAAATATATATAATTAGTCTAAAGCAAACTTATCCTTCATTTAGTGTATTTTCAATTATATTTGATTCTTTAAGCATTGATATGATATCATATTTTTCAACTTTCCAATTGAGTGAAATAATTGCACAATTTAGGTTTCTTTCAGATAGGTTCCAAAGAAAATGACATCTGTGCAACTTTTGGTGCCGATTTTACTTTGAATTGAAATCATTGAAAAGGTTTTACTAGCTGATGAATTACAATTGACATGAAGGTTGACCCCAGAATTATGAATAAACAGTTGGGGATAGGTCCCCTGGCATGAGTACAATAAGGAGGAAACATGGAATGTACGATAAAGATCACTTACAGGTGGACTATTCACTCCTTAAACGTAATTTTATCATAATCGTATCACACACGAACTGCCCCTCTTGAGAGCAGTTATTAAGTATTTGAACAAGTTTGGTGTTTTTATCTTGTCATTTGTTCTTGCGTTTTTAAATATGATTGACATATGGTTGTGTCCTTTTTACCTATAGTACAGAGGTCGTCCAAATGCAACCCACTCGAAGACAGCAGGTGCGCAGCTTGCAATGATAGGTGTAAAATATTTTGTTTAAAATAGATGGCTTTAAGGACAATGTGCTGACTGGTCACCATATTTATTCCCGTGATTCTGAATTTGACGGGTTCACACGCTGTTTTCAATGATCTGCTTACACTGTTTTGTTTTCAAATATATGACTTTATAAAGACAATAAATTGACCGGTTATGATATATATTTTCTTGATTTTAGCTTTATCTGGTTTATTTTGTAACGCAGCCAGTGTCTAAGGTGCTGCAGAAAATAAGGAATGGTCTTTAAAATGTTTATTTCTTTAGTTTTTCCATATTAAAAAAAACTCAGCTTGATTTGGTTTGCTCCTCATACAAATGCCATATCAGTGCGAGATTTCCGTTACGTGATTTGTAATTAGAAGTAGACTTAAATTTGTCACCCTCGTTGTATTTTGTAGAATCATTCTTTATTCCTCGTATGTCCTCCTGATAAAATCAAAGACTTCATATTAAATTAAGTTAGATATTGTCTCGTTTCTTTCCCTTTTTTGGATAACACTTTGTGCTTTTGTGTTCATGAGATTTTTTTTATTAATTATTTTATCCATTAAATATTTCTTAGCAACTGAATTCACCACTATATTGTCTCAGCCTAATATCATTTAAAGCCTGTAATGTTATGATTTTTCACCTCGTCTCTTATGTGTGTAATCGTTATCATCATCGGGGTTAGCTTCTTTTTTTTTTGTCTTCTTTACAGTCTTCGCGAAGTTTCCTGCAATTTATGCGTGAAAAAATATTTCCCCCCTGTTATTACATTTTACTTTATTTTCGCTCGTTCGCTACACCCGAGGCGCCAGTCAATATATCTTCATCTTCCATTCTATCAGTATGTCTTCATCTTCCTTTATAGACACACGGTACTAATTGTATGGAAAAATGGGAACCAGGCCTGGAAATTATTGAAGATAAAATAGAGCAAATATTGGTTTGGCTTGCCATGATTGTTTGATAATGAAAGATAGAATTTAGTAAAAAGAATCTTTTGAGAGTTTATTCTAGTTGTAACTAAAAAATAGATACGTTGTTTTTTTTTATGGAATTACAGTCTTTTAATAGTCTTGAGTTTTAAATACTCATTACTGAAGTTCTTACCGGTCCGGAATTGAAAGCACATGTTTCAAACACATGCAGGTCCAGAAAATGCCATGACTCATACCCTTTTCTCTACACAGACGCTGTCATCCAGGATGCATCTATACTTATAAATATAGGTTTAATCATGAGCACTCAGAAATTGAACGTTATTGAATTTTAATATCATGGCGTTTGCATATGTTTACAATGATAACCGAATTAGTACCGTGAGTTTTGTAGATACTTTGGTTAACCGTGAGAAGAATAGAGACTGAGCGTGACATATGTAATTACACTTTACACCAAGCCTTAACAAGCATATAGATTGGTTAAAATCACATCATGTGACGCAGAAAATTAACCGCTATTAGTTTATAACAACAGAGAGCAACTACTTATATATTAATGTGCCTTTCTTCTGTGTTTTGCATAAATTTGTTAGCAATGGTTACAATAAAGTTCTGTTATTTCGTGAGATTAGTTAATATAACAGTCTGTAATAATAAGAATTGGATATCATATTTTACAGTGTTCATGAAGTAACTGGAAAAAATACGATCTGCCTTTGATTCACTATGGTCCTTCATACAGTATGACATTGGATTTCAAGCGTCATAACTTCATGACTCGTAAAATATTAAGTTCAGTTCTTTACTAAAGTGTAGTTTTCTAACCAGTCTACCCAGGGCGGGATGGCCGGGCTGTGGAGTGGAGCAGGGTTTCATGACACCCACCCACCCCAGCTAAAAAACGTATACACACAAATGTGCCGTCAATTGTCACTTGAAACATGAACATCACTTCATTCTTGCGCACGTTTATTGTGTATTTTGCACGTTTTGAGTAAATAGACACATAGACGTTTGGTTTAAAGCCCTTTCGATGAAAGTCAGGACCCTTTGAAATTTTGGACACCTCGGCCCCAACATTAGACCTGATCAAGCCCTGCCATTTATATAAAAACATAAAAACAGTGATAACGATTGTTTGTGGGCTGTTACCAAAATTTCGTCCGCTCAAGGCATCTTTGGCATCTGCATTGTCTACACAAAGCACCTTTGGCCTATACATCGTCCGCACAAGGCATAGTTTGGCCCGTACGTCGTCCGTACAAAGCATCTTTGGCCGGTACATCGTCGGCACAAGGCATATTTGGCCTGCACATCATCCATTCAAGGCATATTTGACATGTACATCGTCCGTACAAAACATATGTGGCCCGTACATCGTCCGTACAAGGCATCTTTGGCCTGTACATCGTCCGTACGAGGCATATTTGGCCTGTATGACCTGTACATCATCCGTACAAGGCATATTTGGCCATACTTTGTATGTACAAGGCGTCTTTGGTCTGTGCATCGTCTGGTCTGTACAAAGGATCTCTAGTCTGTACAGATGTTACGTATGCTGTTGCTTTCAAATCCATATCTTTCTTGTACTATCTACCCTCGCCGGCATCTTCCAGATTTTAATGGGGAAAATAGAATTTGGCACCGCATTACTTATGTAAAAAAATGGCTATAATAAGCAATATGATGATAGTGATACACGCTAAATATTAATAGTTTATACGAACACTGCTGATCTGTGAAGTTATTCCCCAATAATGTGTGTGTGTGTGTGTGTGTGTGTGTGTGTGTGTGTGTGTGTGTGTGTGTGTGTGATTTCGATTTTTGGCCGTAGCTTTAACAATTATTCAGTCATATTGCTACGATGTCTGCAGTGTGGCAGATTATAGTGATGTCTAGCACTGGGGCATCATGCTGCAGACATGTAGCATGATGTCCCACCCCATCACATTATCCCCACACCAGGCCGACCAGTCCTAACACTAACCTCTTAATGTTGAGTGCCAAGTGATGCAGCTGTTAGTACCATTTTTATAAGTCTTTGGTATGACTCAGCCGGGGATCGAAACCACGACCTCCCACATCTGAGGCGGACGCTCTAATCACTAGGCCACCATAGGGGGTCTCCCAATAATGATGTAATATGCCATTTACCAGCATAACATTTGTGGGCTCACACTACCGTGTTTAGTTGCCTATAAGACGAGACCAATTGCAAACTACATAGACCCAGATCTGTCATCGCATTGTGCAACGGCAGATTTGGGTCTGTGCAGTTTGTTAGGAGAAGTCAGTAGACCTAACAACATAAACCATGATATGCAAGCGGATTATGTTACGGAAGATCAAGATCGTTGGTTTTTGCTGTTTCCCTCGACTTATAAGAGAGTAAAATACGGCATTACTCTGCTCAATGGAAATTGACAAATGTAATTCAGATCAAATCGTATAAAGATACAGCTGAAACTGGCACACGAATAAAAATTATATTTACCACAACAACCAATCTGGTAAGTAGGTACTTCATACAACAACCACTCTGGTCAATAAGTAATTAGTACAACAATTATTCAGGTAAAATTATAGGTCACCGGCCACACTCCAACATTTTTATGTTTACATTAAATTTGCATTGCATGATTAAAAGTGGTTATACTTGAATAACAAGAACAAAAAATATCAAATGTAAAGAAGAAATAATAATATAATTACACGAAAAAGACGTATACAACGCAGTTACTACCCATTAGCTATGATTTCCCTTCTATAGAGGATGCCAGCCGGAAATGACGTACATTTATCCCCACAAGACGAAGTACATGCTTCTTGTTGTAGAAAAATAAAACATTATAAACCATGGATAGGAAATATTTAGATAAAACTACTGAAAACTAATTTACTGTTCAGCCTGATATCGATATGCGTACGCGACGGAAACTAGTTTGTGTCGCTTTCAAAATTGTTTCATTGTTTCAATTTATTTTGAAAATTCCCGTTAATACAGGTAAAAAAGAATCAAAGAAGGCTTGTCTATGTCGGCCAACTTTATTTGTAAGAAAAAAAAGAAAGAAAATTGGCACCCTTAAAAAAATCCAAAGGAACCAAACTTGACTTTCCTATATTAAAAGATATCAAAGTCAGTTTTCGGGGTTGTTTGTTTTATAATAAAATAACTTTTGTATCTGATATCCTGTCGAAAAGTTTAAGGAAAGAGTTTATTGCTCGTTCCAAGCTGTGTTTATCCATCACCCGGACTTATATTTGTTTCCCAGATGTGATCATCATTTATGTTTGCAGGGCAAATAGTATACACAACAATAACGTGCTTTAATAACTTTTCTAACCCATGCTAGCGAAAAGATTATCATTTGCACTCACGTGAATGTATTTTAAAATAATGATTTTTTTTTTTGCACCTTGGACAGTCATGCGTAAATGGCAGGTGCTTTCAAGCAATCTGGTGATATTTTCGTCTCTTTTGTGATTTTATTTCACATAAGCGATACACACTACAGTAAGGACGCATACAAAAACCTGCATCCACTACATACACGGATTTCGTGGGTATATTTTTTTCTTAAAAAATTTTTCATGATGAAAAAAGAATGAATAAATGATAACAATGCAAGGTCATTTTTTAATTTTTTTAATAAGTGTATGTTTATCATTTTTGTATCTTGCAGGTGCTTTCAAGCAATCTGGTGATATTTTCGTCTCTTTTGTGATTTTATTTCACATAAGCGATACACACTACAGTAAGGACGCATACGAAAACCTGCATCCACTAAATACATGGAGTTCGTGGGTATATTTGTTTCTTTAAAAATTTTCGTGATGAAAAAAGAATGAATAAATGATAACAATGCAAGGTCATTTTTTATTTTTTTTTAATAAGTGCATGTTTATCATTTTTGTATCTTGCAGGGGGAGACAAATTTAAAACAAAAATTAAATCCTATCTTATTTCTATGAAATACTGGAGCAAATATGAGTGACAATATTGACTAGTAATGGTGCTCTCTCTCTCTCTCTCTCTCTCTCTCTCTCTCTCTCTCTCTCTCTCTCTCTCTCTCTCTCTCTCTCTCTCTCTCTCTCTCTCTCTCTCTCTCTCTCTCTCTCTCTCTCTCGTGTAACTGAGTATTATATGCAGCAGTGTTACAACGTGAAACCCAAAATTAAATATATTTGTTTTAATATCTCGTGTATAATACCCTTAGAAAAATATATATTCTGTAGAATATTATGTTAAGTTTTATTGTTTAATAAATGAATGTTGATAATTTGACCAGAAGACTTAAATTGAAAATGTCGTTGTGCAGATGCATATATTTTAAGCAAAAAAAAATGTTTATAAATATTTTAATTAGAACGAGCAAGATCTGTCGGATTGTGTTTTCTCTCATATGTATGTACGTTGCAAAGTATGATCATTTTCTCTGAAAGAATATCAATTTCGTTTAAATTTTGGGATTCTTGTTCTAAAACCTATTCCTAAAACGTATTTTACATAGTATCTACTTGTTTTAAGACAAATAAAATGTACAAACTTTTGCTAAGTTGAGCCGAATTGTCTTTCGAGTTGGGCCGAATTGTCTTGAGCCAAATTGACAGAAACACAGCATTAATGATTCATGTTTCCAATCCCTTCACAATATTCCATCTCACAGCTTGATTTTTTTTTTCTGGTAAACAGGGTCTTTCGGGAAAAAAATAATTATTTTACCCATCATCAAACTTTTGGTTACATCCATCTGTAACGCAGTGCATCATATTTGCTGTACAAAATCACAGTTGTAAGATATATAACAGAAATTTATGTCGGGAAATTAAACACTTGAATGGCTAGGTTGAACAGAAGGGATAAATGTACGTCATTTCCGTGTTTGGCACGCGGAAACTACCGATTACTTATGGAGATTGCCGAATAATTTTTCATTTACAAAAGTAGATTTTTAAGTCTAATTAAGCATTTTTATTGTGTGCATACATAACAAATGCGTTTTGTTTATGACTATAATAATATCACACGTTTGTACAATGTAGGTGGCCGGTGACCATTAAGGTTAAAATTACACATTTTATTCTTCACCTTTTGCAAATGGGTTTATACCGGATTTAATTCTTGCTATAATCATAGGGTTGTTACAGCAGATTTAACTGTATTTATTCATTACAACTATCCGATTGATAGCTAAAGCTCGTATTATTTGAAATCAGGGTTTATATGAAAGGGCAGCGGTGCGCACCCTTTCTCCGCATGCAATCTACTTATATATAAAATGACCAAGCCAATGTGATCTACCTTCCACAAAAATGTATAATATACATAGGCTGAAGTCTATTTTTTTTAATGCTACGCGATCTACTCACACTACGATCGCGATCGACCGCTCGATCGCGATCAACGTTTTGTTCCTGATGAAAGGAATTTCTTTATGCCGCACACCCAGTTACATACTGGCGTTCGTTCCTCAGCTTAGTTTACTCTGGCAGTGACCAATTTCCATTACGGTAGACCTCCAGAGAAAAACTCTTATACGCCCAATACATCCCAGCAATGTCTCTCTGATCAAATGAGACGTGCCGTGTTACTGAGATTTGTCACTGGCCAGACTATGATGATGTAACGCGACAAAGGTAATAGATACTTCATGCGCTCTCTCTTTCTCTATGATAAGACCGGGTAGGACGATACCGAGTATCGATAACAAGCCAGACATAACTATATGGTCACATCAATATGAGAAAGTGTTCATAGCGCTAATTGTAGTTATTGTTTACAGTTTGAATTGCCCACTTGAGAACTATCATGATATTGGAGCCAATGATTCTATATGTCATTGCCTTATTTACTGTATTAAACGTTCCTAGGCATTTCCCCTATTAAATTCGGAGCTCAATACACAAAAACTAGGACACGTTAATTAGGTTTGCATTAGGGCAACGTTAATGGATGACACAATCTGGCACGTGTAAACCCTTAACAGGTTTTTAGTAAGGTACGATCAGGACTAGGTATATGGGGGAAATAACCTGTTTTTGACTGTGTATTATGTGCGGTTGCCCACGGTATACCACTCGACAGTTACTGTGAGTCATGCACTGAGATATATATTTGCCGAAGGTGACTAAACATACATGTTGACACCAATAACATACCGGATAATGAATTTCTACCCTTAGGAGTTAAGTACAGAATAATAAAATGTAAAAACATGAATGAATTAAATTTTCCATATAAAAACATCAGCGGAAGGATTTATCTAAAACTCAAATTGGGGTCGAGTAAATTCCACTTTGCAACCTCCTACCACAAGAATCACTATTTGGAAGATATGTTTAGGTAGGAACACCCAACCCCATATTCATCAAATGGGAAGACACAATCTAAGCATGAAGTTTATTTCGAGGAAAGAAGGAGAAGGGGTAAAATTAACGCAACGAAGATGACGAAGAGGTCGAAGACGACAGTTTAAATCTCCTTTAGCCTCTTGGGACATCCCCAAAATATGACCCCACGATGCGTGTCACACCATCCTATCCCACCTGTGTGGACACTCAAACTATGACATCACAATGTTTGCAAAACCATCCTATCTCTCCGGCTTGGATACCCCCAAAGTATGACATGACGATATGTGCCACCCAAACTATGACATCAGGATGTGTGCCGTACCATCCTCTCCCCTCCTGTTGGGACACCCCAAAAAGTCACATTTTGTAGGTAGTATAAAATTGTTGGTTTCTCGATTTTCGTCTATACCAAAATGAGATTAGATGACGATATTTGCTACTTTACGTTACTTAGATAAGTACGTAAGATCGATTATTATGTGATAGAGCTTGCCAGTAGCTTCTCGTGGGTCGGTGGTTCTTTCCACAGATTTCTCGGTTTCTTCCTCCACCATTAATACTGGCCGCCATGCATAGCCTATCATGTGCTGAAAATGGCGTTAAGCCCCACAACAGCAACAACAACAACACCAAAATGAGATTAGATGACGATATTTGCTACTTTACTTTTACTTGGATAAGAACGTGAGATCGATTATTACGGTCCTACACGCCTTGATGGAATCCTTTGTTGATAGTGCTGGTTAGGATGCTGATGGAGT